GTGTTGGATGAATCGACGGGTTACCTCTCTTTTCATGGACGTTATATTTATGGTAGTATGGAGACTTATTCAGCTTCCCTGGGTTAATGGTAGGATTGAAGTTGCTTAAATTAGTGTTATTTGGTTTGCTGCTGAGAAGAAACCTATCAGTGACGGGTTTGAGTACAGGTATTCTGGATGGCAGGGTTATGTGGCTTCGTTTTGTGTGCACACTAGTCTGAGTGCTACTCGGGGAGCTTAGCCTTTTGCGTAACATTGGTAGTGATATTAGCAGCTCATGGGGATGATGTGTCTAGCGAGCATAACTGTAAAGATGCATCTAAGTCTATGACCATAGTTGCTTCACCGTTGGGTTTAATAGGAAAAGCTTTATTACTTAAGGGTATTTCGTTTTCATGCGTGTCTGTAGCATTAGGTTTACTTAAATGTAAGGCGAGAGAGTCTTTTGTAGAACATTCTGCAGTTAGGTATGTATTTGCGACACTTGATACACTTGCACGGCTACGTCTTTGACATGGCGTTAGGTCATGACCAAGTTTAACGTTACCATAAAGTGTCGATGAACTAATCAGCTTGTTAGACTGGAATTTCCTAGCATCATTAGGACTACTGAATTTAAACAGCACAGGACAAGTATACTTTCCTGATTTTTTCCTAAGTCTGATTAGGTGGCAATTCGCTGATGGCATGCCGCACGCTTGGAGACATGTCACTTTGATTTTTTCCAGAGGCGTCCGATCAGGCAGATTGTATGCGAGAACGTTGTACGAAGACATGATTCGTTTAGTCACTTCATTCGCTATAAAGTCTAACATACGCTCAAAATTCAGCAGACTTTCCGGATTGGTATCGTGAGTCGGGTTACAAAGAAGCAGTAACGGCTTAATGGTGTTTATATTCTCATTGAGTTCCTTCACAGAGTTTCCTAGAGAAATAAGGTCCAACTTATTTTGCTTAGCAGTTTCGTATATCTCTGACTTCGGCGATATTGTTGGGGCTACGTGGAACGTGTAGGGATGTACGTATCTTCTTAGCTGAGTGACCTAAACTATTCTTACGTATAGAAAGTACTCGTTTATTACGTTGTGTCATTGTTGAACACAGATCAGTATGGTTTGAAGTAGAAGCCGAGCTTATAAATAAACAATAGATTGACAAAAGTATTAAGCCGTAAAATACAGACTATATAGAAATCAATTATCGTGAAAATTTGACCCTGATTTATAAACCACAAAATAATGAACTTCTCCATAGTTTCCTTTTGCGTGACGTTGTTCTTAAATTACAAGAAGGAGGATGAGTCCTGCGAAAGAGTGGATCCAAACTTGATAACCGGCGGTGATATATCTGCGTAATTGGAAGCTGGGGTAGCAACTAATCTAAGTTATAGTTGAGGAGTGGTATAACAGCCACTACGATATTCCAGAAATCGGTAAGTATATATCCACGTGTAATCCCACTCGTCAAGCAATGATCTGAAACAGAGAGCAAAGCGCACGTTAGCAGTGTGATCACACAAGTGTCGTGTGCTAGTAAGAACGAAGACTCAAGGTCAAGGATTATATTTACAACCAATCACAATACAATTAGATGAGAGGGAAAGGGCAGTCATATTGGTCATCCGTTGCCTCGTCTTGGGTAACCAATCCCTGCACACTTGGTAGCCGACCTGAGGGTAGACAAGCATAGTTTGAACATTAGAAAACCGCCGAACTTACCATGCCTTACACTACCCCCTCTCCAATAGGAGCACTGCCCGCAGTGCTAGGTGACTGTTCCTGTAGGACTTGCCTGAACTAAGGCCTGTTGTCGAAAAGGTTTTAGTCTATTGAAGTGTGTGACTAGACTATGAGAGGAATTGGGTTCCTGAATCCTACAGGTGCAGTCACTTAGTACCTCTACTACAGTAAATGGTCCTTCCCAGCGTTTATGGAATTTGAGAGCCTTCCCTTTGGGTGGTGCCTCTTTAAGTAGCATCACCTTGTCTCCTGGCTCCACGGGTGATCCATGTGCTTTCCTATCATAGTATTCTTTCTGGTACCTCTGGTTTGTTTGGAGTATATCCCTAGTCATCTGGTGTACCTTGTTCAGGTTTCGTCTAAGTCTGATTACGTGTTCGGATGCAATCAATGTGTCCTCTCCTAGTGTGTTTGAAGTCAGATCGATTGGCAACCGGAGTTCTCTTCCAGTGACCATATAATGAAGCGTTTGACGCGTAGCTTTGTGCATGCTTGCTCTGTACGCCATTAAGCACTGCGAGAGTGATCGGTCGCATTCCCTGGGGTAGTTTTGGTCTACAAATGCCTGCAAGAGAGATTTGAGTGTCCGATTGGTGCGTTCAACCAAACCATTTCCCTGTGGGTGGTACGCGGTAGTGCGTGTTTTCCGGATACCCATTATGCGACAGAGTTCGCTGACAACGATACTTTCAAAGTTGGATCCTCGATCTGAGTGTAGCTGAAGTGGTGCCCCCCAACGGCTGACCCAGTGATCAAAAATTGACTCTGCGATGGTTACAGCATCAATCTGTGGAATCGCGATAGCCTCGCACCATTTGGTAAAATGGTCTACCATGACTAAAATATAGTTATTATTTCTGGGTGTTACTGGGAGAGGTCCAACCAAGTCTATTTGCACTAAGTCATTTGGATGACCAGTTATAATGGGTTCTAAGGGTGCCTTATTATATTTGTGCGGGGCCTCAATAGTTTGGCATACCTCGCAGGAGTCACAGAAATCTATGATGTCTTTCCTCTGATGAGGCCACCAATAACGCCTTTTAGCCGCTTCGATCATTTTTCCCGAGCCCGCGTGGCCTAACTGCTGGTGTAATGACAATAGTACTGTGGGTAGTGCCGACTGTGGAGCCACAACGCGACGAGTATAAGTAGGTCCATGTTGGTAGTAGAGGATGTTATCGACAATTTTCAAATTATCCCACAAAGACCATAAACACCGGGTTTACCATCCAAGCTTACTTATTTCCTGGGTTGTCGGTCGTTCGCCTCCACTTCGAACACGTTCGTAAATCAAGGCCAGTTCAGGGTCTGAAGACTGAAGCTCGGGCCAACTATATGAAGCATGAGCCTCTAGTTGGAACAGCGAAACTTGTGCTTCGGTGCACGATGGGCAGTCACCGTGATACCTAAGAGGTTTTCTTGACAATGCATCTGCATTTCCATGATTTTTACCCGGTCTATGCATGCATTCGAAGTCATACTCTTGTAGGTGTTCTTGCCATCTAGCAATCTGACCCTCAGCTTCTTTGAAGTTATGTAGCCAGCTAAGGGCTTTATGATCAGTGCGTACAACGAAATGTCTACCGAGGAAATATGCCCTAAAGTGTTTAACAAAATTCACCAGTGCCAGCATTTCTTTCCGGGTGGTGCAGTAATTCTTCTCACTCTTGTTGAGTGCTCGACTTGCATAGGCTATCACCTTTTCTACTCCATCTGCGTCTTTTTGAGACAGAACAGCCCCGATACCCGTGTCGCTAGCGTCTGTATCTAGGATGAATGGACCTGCCTGGTCAGAAACATTAGGGTATGCTAGGATAGGAGGGCTACATAAACAGTTTTTAAGTCTTTCGAAGGCTTCCGTAGCTGATGCTGTCCAGCTGTAGTCTTTCTTCTTAAGAATGTCGAATAAAGGAGCTGCAAGGAAAGAAAAGTTAAGTACAAAACGTCGATAATATGATGCTAACCCTAAAAAACTATGTAACTCGGGGGCTGAGTTTGGGAGCGGCCAGTCTTTAACTTCCTGAACTTTTGCTGGATCACATTTAATGCCGTCGGCTGAAACAATGTGACCTAAGAAACACACTTCTTTCCTGAAGAATTGGCATTTCGATGGGTTCAGTTTTAAACCAACGGTCTGCAACCGTCCTAATACTTCGGAAATATCACCTAAATGTTCAGTCATCGTCTTACTATGTATGATAACATCATCTAGATATACCAAACACTTACCTGGTATACAATCACTCAAGACCGTTTGCATGAGGCGTTGAAATGTTGCTGGGGCATTGACTAACCCAAACGGCATTGTTTCAAACTCATACAGGCCTGCTTGTACAATGAATGCTGTTTTCTGCCTGTCATCTGGGTGTACTTCAACCTGCCAATATCCCGATGCTAAATCTAGAGTGGTAAACCAATTCGACCCCTCTAAGGCATCAAAAGTGTCGTCTATGCGTGGAAGGGGGAAGCAGTCTCGTCTAGTTAACAGGTTCAACTTACGATAATCTACACATTTCTTCACTAAAACTACTGGGGAAGCCCATGGAGATACGGATGGTTTGATGACATTTTTCTCTAACAGTTCATCAACTAACCTATTAAGCTCCTTCTGGTAATGTGCAGGTACTTGCCGTGTAGGTTGTCTACAAGGTGGGGCGTTACCCGTTTCTATGTGGTGTTGGACCAGTTTTGTTCTCCCCGGGTTTTTTCCATCCCAGTCAAAACAGTCCCCATATTTGTCTAGCATTTTATTAAAGTTGGCTGTCGTTTCCGATGGTAGGGGTTCTATAGTCTTCAGCATTCTCTGTTTCTCAGTCTTAGCATCTCCCTGCACGCCAAAAGTGCCGTGCTCTACGTCGTTCCCTGTAATGAATGGAATGGAACAGTCCTTCAGTATAAGAGTCCTCTGACTACAATCTATTTTCCCGGAGAGCTTTTCCAGGAGGTCGACTCCCAAGATTACCTGCCACGGCACCCGGTTAGAGACGATGAAGTGACAGTGTTCCCAATTTAAGAGGCAGCAGGACCACTCCCTGGGATTGCATGCAATCTCCATTGGCTGTCGTAAGCCGCAACTTGTGAGTCCCTATTGTGGGCCTAAACGTCTCTGGAACACATGAGGAATGTATGACAGAACACGTTGCTCCTGAGTCAACTAACATAACACACTTTTTTTTCCTATAAACCCTACAACTTTCGGGGAGGAGGTGACACCGATTAGGTTTACAGTAGGTACACAATTCATATCAACATGTGACTCACCTGCATTGTGACCACAACTTCTAGCCAGCTTACCAAACCGCCTGCAGTAGTAGCAATCATTTCTTGAGGTGGATTGAGACTGTGGACGTCCTTTCCACGGTGGTGTGGGATTCTGTGCATATTTTGTTGTTCTGTTCGGATGTCCCATTGCGTTTACTTGTGGGCATGTGGTTCCTGGCTCTTCCAGGCTTTCCACCAAGCGTGCCCTAGTTTCAGCTTCTGCCATGGAGGCTGGAGTGTGTAGGTTGAAATCCTTCCTGTAACGGAAGTCGACACCCTGCAGGAACTTGGAAAATATAGCATCTTCAACTTCTGAATAAGTCTTGTCCTGCATAGCTTGACGTGCAAGCGTGCGGAGACGTAAGATGAACTGGTTGATGGATTCACCTTGTCTCTGGTTGCACTCACTGAATCTTTTCAGCGATTCAATGTGAGGTACTGGTGGCACTATACGTGCTTTTAGAGTACTCAAGAGGGTGATCAAGGGCATATGCACATAATCCAAACCAATTGTGTACATTTCCAAGGACCGTCCAACAGAATCGATGACGAATGCATTCGGGTGAGGCACGTTCATCAGATCAACGTATCGGCGCACCTTGTCCGACCACAGCTCGAAGTCATCACCGACCTCCAGTTTATGGGGCAAAGGATGGACGAAACGCGATGCAGGCTGATTTGATTGAAAAGCTGGAGCCATCACTTCAGCTAATTGATCAACCTCGTTCGATGCTGTCTGTTTGACAGGAGAAGTGTTCTTAGTAGCCTCATTGAGTCGAGACTTAGAAGAAGAGAGTTTTTTCGTTGGCAGGCTCGCCATTTATGTAATCCCACTCGTCAAGCAATGATCTGAAACAGAGAGCAAAGCGCACGTTAGCAGTGTGATCACACAAGTGTCGTGTGCTAGTAAGAACGAAGACTCAAGGTCAAGGATTATATTTACAACCAATCACAATACAATTAGATGAGAGGGAAAGGGCAGTCATATTGGTCATCCGTTGCCTCGTCTTGGGTAACCAATCCCTGCACACTTGGTAGCCGACCTGAGGGTAGACAAGCATAGTTTGAACATTAGAAAACCGCCGAACTTACCATGCCTTACACACGTTATGGGGAGAGATTGTAGCATTCGATCGGAATCGCGCGCATTGCATAACTTATTGTGCCTGTTGAAATGGCATGCATTCCTCGTAAACACCCGTTTAAACTATGTATTAAATTACTATTGTTTGCTCTCTGCTATACTTTAGAAGATGAACAATTTGTGTGACAGTGAAAACCACAGAAGAATGCTGTCATGAACGAAGGTTTTGAAAGGAGAATGAAACATTTTCAGGTGGTTAAATATAAAGCGTTTTGCCTTTACATTACTTTTTTCTAACTTCGGCGATTGAAAAAATACACTTTATTGACTTATTTGCAGATGTCCAGTAACGTCAGTCAACCTGATCACAGCAATTCGACATCGCCGAAATAATTACGAAAAACAATTGTGTAAAGATATTTGCCTATTATTTTTCATCAAATATATTTAAGATCCTACTTGCCATACTTTTCTTATTCTATCTGAGTGAAACTAAATTTGTCATCATGACGAGATGGAGGCCTGAGTTATCAATGATACCTGAGAAAGTAATTGTTGGCATAATTCAACGTAAGCGGAATCTTACTACGATTGTTACAGCTCAACCTATTCAATAGTTCGTCTCTTGTAGACTTCATTTTACACTACACGTTAACACCCGGAATCATGTGGATTGACATCACGCTTTAAGTGATATAATAGTAATGCACTACTTTTGAATACACTTAACCTTATACGAAATTGAACTCAACTACAGTACCTAAGTTCTATTCATATTTTAGCGGTAAATAATTCCCCAAAATTATTAACCACAGCAATCATCACTCAACATTTGATGCTGACCATCACTGTTTAAGTCGACTTGTTTAGCTGAAGGCTTCCGGTCAAGCATCCCCGCCATTTGGTACTCCGTCGTGCGTGCACGATTACTAGCTAGCTAAGCATTCATTTCTACCCGCGATTTGGTCCCGAAATATATATCGTATTTGGACGACAAAATCTGGTCTTTTGCTTTACCATTTGGTACTCGAAGAACGAACACTATAGAAGTTGTTGGTATAAGATCTTGCGTTAGTATAATCCGTACAACTCGCGAACGTCGATACCTGCAACCACTAAACTGGTGAGCCCATCCACGAACTACATCTTCAATTCACACGCAGATAAACCCGATGAGTTCCTTTTTGTGTTTATTCTTGTACTATATTGTTATCGGCATACTTTTCGTCATGAGTGATCCTAGCCCCAAGGTTATTCAGATTCGCTCAACCGCCAAAACAATCCAGCTAGTACCATATTGGTCAGATAATGCTGAAACGTGGTTTCAGATTGTTGAGTCCGATTTTTGTGAACATGGCATAACCGATCAACGTTCACAGTTCCTTGCAGTTATTCACGCCCTACCGCGGGAATTCAGCAGGTGCGTAACTCTGCAGATGTCGGTAAGTAACTCCTACGAGTTGCTCAAAGCATCCCTCCTCAAGAGAAACGTTCTCACGGATCGACAACGTCTGGATGAGTTATTTCGTAACATCGAGTTAGGGGATCAGTCAGCCGTGAGCATGCTGGCAAGAATGGAAGAGATCATTGGCCAAAGTCAGTTCGATGAAGGACTGTTTAGAGAACTATTTTTATCCAAACTGCCACAGTCAGTTCAGACTGTACTTGTGACACTTCAGGGTGTTCTCATGGATGACTTAGCTGTCTCTGCAGATAGAATTCTAGAGATAACGAAACGGCCAGTTACCGAAGTATACTCTGTTACCGAACAGACTTCGAGGAAAGATTCTGCAATGATAGAGTTATGCAACTCCGTCCAGCAGATGCTTAGGTCAAACAAGCCTAGCAATTCCTCCTACCGTCGTTCCAAATCCCCTCAACGGCAAAACGCACGTGGACGATCTAAGTCCAACACACGTTCTCTCAGAAATCCTGACTGGTGTTGGTATCACAACACCTATGGCAAGGAAGCGAAATGTTATCGAAAACCTTGTGATTTCGGCGAAGCCCCCAAGTCTGTGGGAAACTATCCCGCCGGCACGCGTTAGCGGCAACCGTCGCCGGTGGCACTAGCCTCTTACTTCACATCCATGATGTAATGAGCCAGACTAGATATCTAGTCGACACAGGCGCCGAAGTCAGCGTCCTTCCTGCTACAGCAGCAGATCGACAGAAGGATCCTAACTTCAACCTACAGGCTGCAAATGGAAAACCAATTGCAACCTATGGTCGGAAATACGTCTATCTGAACGTGGGTTTACGCAAACCTATTCAGTGGATTTTCCTAATTGCTGACGTCACAATGCCCATCATCGGCACGGACCTACTTAATCATCATGATTTGCTCGTAGACGTCCACCGTAAACGACTAATTGACAACACTACTAGTTTGTCTATCAAAGGCATAACTTACGTAGGCCCCAGCTTGTCAATCGTTAAGATGAAAGCAATCCTCGATCCAACTTTTCAACCCATTGTTGACAAATATCCGGAACTCAGTTGCCCATCTAACGATCTCCCGTGTATAACCAGCAATGTTATGCACCACATCATAACCTCAGGACAGCCCGTGACATCTAAAGCACGACGACTGGCCCCTGACAAACTGAGAATTGCCAGAAACGAATTCGATCATATGCTCACCCTTGGCATCATTCGGCCATCGAATAGTCCATGGGCATCCCCATTGCATATGGTACCGAAAAGGGATAGTAACGATTGGCGACCCACTGGTGATTACCGGCGAGTGAACGCCAAAACAACCCCTGATTGCTACCCTTTGCCTCACATACACGACTTGACGGCAACGTTATCTGGAGCATCTATATTCTCCAAAATCGACTTGGTTAAAGCATGCAACCAAATCCCGATGGCAACGGAAGATATTCCGAAAACGGCTATCATCACGCCTTTCGGACTTTTCGAATTCCTACGTATGCCATTCGGCCTCCGGAATGCGGCCCAAACATTCCAACGCTTCATCAACGAAGTACTTCGCGGTCTCGACTTTGTATACGCATACTTAGACGACTGCCTCATTGCCAGTCCAGATAAGGAAACACACCTTAGACACTTGGACTTGGCATTTGAAAGGTTACGCCAACATGGTGTTACCATCAATATCCAGAAGTGTCAAATAGGCAGAAAATATCATGAATATTACGCATACGTAATATTATTAACTGCCAGTAATTGTGCCATCGAATCATACTACAAGAGTGCATTTGACAATACTTTGTTAGTGGTCTGAGGGACAAAAATATTACAGCGAAACATACAGGCTAGATGAAAGTCCCACAAAGTTGTCTCACTACTCTACAATGTCTCATTCGCCGATTTTTCCTCTGCATGTGAACGTAGCCACATACTGGTATGTGAAAAAGGTTGTCACCGTTAGCAATATATAAGGTCCTCGCCTTTTGAAAGTCTTCTAATGCTTCTGATCGCACTGATTACCTGCGATGGAATTCTAGAAAAAAGGCTCGTTAACGAAGCACACTATTGCCACAGCTTGTCACAGTTAATTTGCAAGAAATAGAGGGTACCAGACTACGTGAGTGAGAAATATCGAAGTGGAAAATACTGTACGTATAACCACAACTCAAGAAATGCGTTGGGACCCACAGGATCGTAGTCACTGATAACCACCATAACGGTCAACCAGTCCCAATAGAGTGTACATCGAAAAGAGCACTGTATCTGTATAAAAAACAGTGAAACATTGTTAGAATAGTCAAATGTTACATTTATATTTGTCAAAGTTGTTTGCGAACCACGCATAACACAGCCACACAAAACAGCACACGATAGCACCTACCTAGGACAAGTCAAAAATCCAATGAAAGACGAGAAAACCTGAGGCGCCGAAAATTTAACACGTAACAACGTATATCCTCACTCTCCGTACGAGTAAGTTGATTAACACGTAGAAAGTTATATGTAAGCCAGTTTAGATCATTGACAGTGCTTACATAGGATGCTGTACAGCGTCTTGTTATGGTGACGGTGGATTTTATCAAGGATGCTGAGCCATTACTAGCCAAACCTTGAGGGATGATATATGATCAAGTGACTGCAGTTCTTGCTCAGCTTCACTGTAACTGTATATCTGTGCAAATTCTACTACAAGGTAAATATAGCGTGACGAAGTAGCAGGAAGATCGAAACTGCTTCCGAAGCACCAGGGGCTATCTGAGATGACAGCCATCTCCACTACTGTACATCATGCATGTATTTTTCATAAGCAGTACCAGTTTCCCACTCCGGAACACAGTTTATAGCTATGGAAGTAGACGGCATCAGTTCTAGCGACTCCCTCACCATTTGTCTATTAGCCCATGACCTATCGTGTCTCACTTTTATGCTAGAACTCCTGTCGATAGTTAGTACTTGAGCCAGTAACAGTATTCTTTCAGCCTCTTTGGCAGAGCCCAGTGTAACCCTCAATGGATGTGGATTTCCCTGAGGTACCTCAACCCCCTTGTACAGCCTGCACAATTTTGCTGAATTGACGTTTAGACCTAATAAACAGGACACGTTGTTCAAGCGAACTAACACTGCACACTGGCGCATTAAATAAGATTAGGGAATACGAACGACCTTAGACTTAGGTTTGGTCTTTGTCTGCTTTTCCTCCTTTAGAGAGTCGGTCACTTTAGACTTCATCTGGATCTGACTAGTCTTTTTTATATTGCTAGTGGATACAAGTGGTCCTTTGGTAATGCATCTTCCTCTTCTTTTCCAAGTGTAACCTTGGAAGTCTTTATTTTAAGAAGATTGATATTTCCAGTCGGTTGGGCCGGAGTAACCTTCCTCACAAATTTTACTAGGTTTAAGTGATGTGTTGTTGTCAGGTGGAGCGCTGCATGAGACTGTACCAGGGAGACAAAGTAGGCAAATTTACCAGAACCACTGGCATGGGTTATCTCGCATAAACTCATAGTATGGTCTTGGCATTTCTTTTTTAAGACAACAGCGCACACGCAGTTTGCGAAAATTGCGTTCAAATGCTGAATCAGTTTTGGAAACGATAACACTACAGGCCTAGCATTCGTCTTCTTTCTAGGAGAAGCATTCGAGGTGCCATAACGTCTTCAGCATTTCCTTTTAGTTCTGATGTGTCACACACTGGCTTCCAATGGATATAGATGCAGTACCAGGCTCACTCAGTTTCACCTGTGTAGTTTCAGTGTTGGACTGTGGTAATGTAGGCATAGTATCGGAACACGGGTCTTTAGAGTCGGCATACGAGATGAGGTTAATGTCTATGGGTTGTTACTTCCTCCGGCTGTGGCTCTTGTCACTATAGAATATGGTATTTCAGTGCTTTTTTAATGCTAATGGCAACCGCCACATTAACAGTCGCTACAACGTATGCTTATATATGAATAAGGGATAGCAATAATATCCGTCCTATAGAAAAAGAACAAAAACATTGGTAAAGCATAATATAAAGAAAATAGGTTTTCGACTTTACCTAGTACTCTTTGGTTACTTGGCGTCACAGCAATCACGTGGCAGAACAACAAGCTTTGTTCATCTGAACGAGTG